GAGCTGAGCTAATACCACAGCACTCTCCTGTGGATAGTAGAATGAGACTTTGTCTCAAAAAAAAAGAGAGAGAGAGAGAAAGAGAGAGAATGATAAATGTTTTTTTGGAATTGGGAAGCCAGGGTAGCTACCTTAAATGGGGCATCCAGGGTATTTAATTGAGGCTGAGAATTGAATGAGGAGGGAAGATCTGGGCATTCCAAGCAGAAGGACTAGTGAGGGGCCTTGTCCTAGAAGGCTCTATTTATGTCTGTCTTTACATCTGTAGATCTCATTCTTTTTGTGATCACAAAACCATTTTGAGTGTTGAAAATCTGGTAATAGCTGTGGCTGTTTGCGCCAGAAAAATGTACAAATGTACAGCCATTTTGTGCCATTTTCCTAATTCCTGAAGCCCGGGAACCTAACCCAGACAAGGTTTATATTTAGAAGAGGAAGAATGTTTACCATCACCAATATCTAACATGCACTTTACTATGTTCTTTTCTGAAGTATCTCTTTGGCCCCTTGCAATCACCCCATGAGGTAGGTAGTATCCCCATTTTATAGATAAGGAGACTATGACTCAGAGCAAGGGAGTTACTTGGCCAACATCACAGGGCTAGTGACAGGTAGGGGCTTAAACCAGGCATTCTTAGGCTGAAGTGCCTATGTTGCACTCTAAGGCCCTATGGGTCAGTTTTGGGCCCAACACTGGGCAGGAGGTTTGGGGACCTATTCCCCTGGCAAATGCAGGGGAGGAGGAACTGGGGGAGCGTTCTGTGTAGGGGTTTGGAGATGTCCAAATATGTTAGGTCTAGAGGGTTGCTACTTTTCTTTCATCTGCTTTTCTTTTTGGCCTCCTTTTCCTCCTCTTCCTCTTCTTCCATTTTTTTTTTTTGAATGACAATATTTGATTTTCTTACAAAGAAGTCTTTCTGCCTTAGAAAGCATCTTTTAAATATAGAATTGGAAATATACTGCTTTCTCTGTGACAGCTCACAATGAAGGGAGCAGAGGCAGGTCCACCCTTCCCAAAGGTAAACTGGCTTGGGAATATTCCGTTGGCTTTTTTTTTTTTTTAATTTTATTTATTTACTCTTCTTGGGACCAGGTAATACATTCACATGGTTCAAAAATCAAAAGGTACAAAAAAGAAACACAGAACAAGTCTCCCTCACTCCCCTGCTACTTGTCACCTGGTTCCCCTGCCTGGAGGCTATTGAAGTGTCCCAGTTTCTTGTGTATTTTTCCAAAGATGTTTTATGCAAATATATTCATATCCTATATATATATATTTTTTTAAATGGTTATTTTCTTAACCCTTAAGGTGTAGACATAGCCTAAACGTCTCTGTTGGTCTCTCTGGCCCTTGGGAGTGCCTCAGAGACAGGGGAGGCCTTTGGGTCTTCTGGAAGCATTGGGTTTCTCTCAGAGGTAAGCCTTTCCTGGCCCATTTCCATGGCAGGTCCTCCTATACACAATACATCAGGCTCTGTTCAAGGTGCTTCCATTTTTTTTTTTTTTTTTTTGAGACAGAGCCTCCAGCTCTCCCCCTAGGTAGAGTGCTGTGTCATCACAGCTCACAGCAACCTCCAACTTCTGGGCTCAAGTGAGTCTCCTGCCTCTGCCTCCCAAGTAGCTGGGACCACAGGTGCCCGCCACAACACCTGGCTATTTTTTTTTTGTTGCAGCCATCATTGTTGTTTGGTGGCCAGGGCTGGATTTGAACCCACCACCTTAGTTGTATGTGGCTGGCGCCTTAGCCACTTGAGCCACAGGCACCAAGCCAGTGCTTCCATTTTTGATAATTCATCAACCACTCACAATAGCCCAGGAGCTGCAAGAATTATTCACCCCATTTTATGGGTAAGGAAACAGACCCAGAAAGGTCTAGTAACTTGCTGAAAAGCACACAATTAATGAATGTCGGGCGGTGAAGGCCTAAAAGTAGCACGTGGCTTGGTTCAGTTTGGACTTTGGAAGCAATAAGAAAGTTGTTTACTCCAAAGTCACAGTTTAAAAATATTCTAGTGGCACTAGTGTGGAGCAGTGGAAAAAACAGGAGAACTCGCAGTTCCAGCTGTGTTTGCTTCCTGGCTCTGCAATTTACAAAGGGGCAAGTTACATCATTATTTGTAGCCTTAGTATCCTAATCTATAGACTGGAGATGACAATAACCACACAGCAGGGTGAATAATGACATGCCACAAGCGAAAGTAATCTGTAAAATAGGCATATTCTGATTCTTTTTCTGCCATTGTTATTATAGTTATCGTGACTGGTCCCTGGCGGACACAAAGGGAGCAGTGTGTGTGTGGAGGCGGGCAGCAGTTTTCCTAAGGGAAGACAGGCTCAGAGGGGCACAAATTTGCCTCGCCCTCAAGTCAACTCATCCCAAAAGACCCTCTCCAGTCTAGTGAATTGTAAATCAGGAGCTCTCTCAGGCTGAGACATCTTCCAAGTCTGCAATTAGACTAGCCCCAGGGCCAAAGCACAAACTCTTCCTCAGTGGGTGTCTTGAACTGACTTTGATCTGTAACTTTACCCCTTACTGGGCAATTTTTAAAGTTTATTTATTTTTCTAGTATTAAAGTAAAATGTGTTCACTAGAGAAAATTTGGAAAATACTGAAAAGTAAGAAGAAGAAAAAGAAATCATCAACTGAGCCCGCCTCAGTTAATATTTTGGTGTAGTTCTGTCTTTTCTCTCCCTATGCACTAACAATAATTATGGAATGCTGAGTTTTAAATATTTAAAATTATTCTTAGTTTTACATATGGGATTTTTTTTTTTTTTTTGCAGTTTTTGGCAGGGACTGGGTCTGAACCCGCCACCTCTGGCATACGGGGCCAGCACCTTACTCCTATGAGCCACAGGTGCTGCCCCTTATGGGATTTTTTTTTTTTTAAGGAGCCTAGCATTTTCAACAAGACTCTCAGCAGGACCAACTTCCAGTAGGCCCAGAATGGGTCAGTTCCACAATCTGGTACTTATCTGGCCAGCTGAGGCAAGAGCTAGGGCTTAGACTGGCAGTGCTGGCCTAGCCAGGAGTGGCGGCATCTGCTCCCCAGTGACAAAAGGCTCCCTTTGTGTCTTGGCGCCCTCTTATACTCTCACTCACCGGGTGGCATATTCTTTCCCAGGAGGTCCATTGCCACTGAAAGGAAGTGGGGCATCAGTTATCTATCACTCTTTACCAGGTGGCTGCTTTTCAGGGCTCAGACGCCCACAGCGATTTGGGTGGCAACTTTGAGGGTGTGCCCCTCCAGAGGCCTGCGATAGGGGAGCTGGAACTGGGTTGAGCAGGCTTGTGAGACAGATCTGGCAAACCTTGGCGGGTGGTCTCTTAAGCTCCCATTTGCCTGCTTCCTGGCCTTCCCCAGGCCTGACCTGCCCCATTCAACACCTCCCCACTCTTATTTTTTTTTGTCCCCTTTCTTTTTTTGTATAAGTACAACTGCCCTTAAGCCAAAAGTGTATAATTAAAATAGTGGGCTTTTGGAGTGACTGGTATTCCTAGCTAACCCTGTGCCCCCGTGTTGTTTAATAAAGTTTGGCTATTCCCATCCCAGGATACCTTCAAGGCTTTTTCCACTCCCTTTTGCAGAATGCCCTTCCCCCACTTGGAGGCCTAGAGAAAAAAAAATTCACCCTACAAGGCTTGGGTCAAATATAATCCCCTTAGAAATGCCAGGGATGCCTCTGCTGCAAGATGAGCTGCTCCCTCTTTGGTGCTCCTGTAGCTCTGGCTTCATATTGGTAACAGAGCTGGAAACATGTTGGGATCTTCCTCTTTTCCTCCTTCCTTGCTTTGTCTGGGAATTCTTAGACAGCCAGGATGGGGCTGTGTCCTTGTCTCTCATCCCAGTTCCAGCAGTTGAAGTAGCTTCTTAAATTTTCGGTAAGTAAAATTACAAAATCATGACATTTGGTTACCTCTTCCTCTTCCTCATTTCTCTCGTTATCCCCCATCCTCACTTTGCCATCTCCCCCAGCGATCATAACACCAACAAATTATAGGTAACACCAGGGAATTATAATTGTATTCTCTTTCCCATATGTGTGTTGATGGTCTACACTTGGGGGTGGGAGATATCTTTTCTATTCATAGAAATGCCCCTTTTATTTTTTTTGAGAAAGAATCTCACTCTGTCACCTGGCCTAGAGTGTAGTAAATAGCCCACTGTAACCTCAAACTCCTGAGCTCAAGGGATTCTCCTCCCTCAGCCTCAGGAGTAGCTGAGACTACAGGCATGCACCATCACACCTACCCAAGTGTATTATTTTTGTGGAAACGAGATCTCTCTTTATTTATTTTTTTTTTTGAGACATAGAGTCTCACACCATCACCCTTGGTAGAGTGCCATGGCATCATAGCTCACAGCAACCTCAAACTCCTAGGCTGAAGCAATTCTCTTGCCTCAGCCTCCTGAGTAGCTGGGACTACAGGTGCCCACCATAATACCCGGCTATTTTTTAGAGACAGGGTCTTGCTCTTGCTCAGGCTGGTCTCAAACTGGTGAGCTCAGGCAATCTCCCTGCCTCTGCTTCCCAGAGTGCTAGGATTACAGGCATAAGCCACCACACCCAGCCCAATCTCTATGCTGCTCCTGGCCTCAAATGATCCTCTGCCTTGACCTCCCAAAGTGCTTGGAGTACAGGTGTGAGTCACCACATCAGCCAAAACGCACCTGTAGATCTAACATGCCAACTTGCCTTTCCCATTCCTAAGTCCCTCCCTGGGCAGAGGCAACTTCTCCTCAAGGTGCTAGCAAGCCCCTCTCCAGGGTTGCAGTGCAGGTATTTCCACATGCCTTCCTCCACATGGACAGGCTCCAGTTGAGGGCTTGGGATGGGGATATACTAATTTGCCAGTGCGGTCCAGCACTCAGGTTCAGCCTCTCTGTGGGGCCAGAATAGACTGGAAATAGAAGGGTTATTGACACTTCAGCAACAGGAAAATTGCAGAACAATGTGTGTTGTCAGTGGAAGTTTACAAGGAGGACAATGGGATAGAGAGGTAATATTTCAAAGATTTTATTAAAAAACAAAATAGATACACAATCCTAAAACAACACTAATGGACTTCTCCCCATCTCCCAGTCTGCTGATCAGTTCCCCCAACCCTAGGTGCTAAGGCCCAAATTCTGCTTCTCAAGCTGCCCCCTGCCCCACAAACTGGTGACTGAAGCTCCCTGCTTTCCTCTAGCTTCTGATCCATCACTTTAAGAAAATAAAAATACCCCCCTCCCTGAATCACTTAAAAATAATTTTCAAAGATTAAAAACTGCATTTGTGTGTTTTTAAAAAATAAACACTTTAAAATGTTGGATATCTGCCTCTTCCCCTAGGCGTAGTTGAGGACTCTGGGATGCCTGCTTTCCTCCCCCCAGGAGACCAGCTGCCACTTGGTGCCCCATGGACATTTTCAGGAAGTAATTTCTTCCAAATTTCCCCTGTAGTCACAAATTCCACAAACTGCTCCCATAAACACTCTGTCTTCATTACAGGCACAGTTCCTCAGTTCTGGAAACCTGATCTCTTTTTGTCAACTAGATCACATGCTTCAGATTCCCTGCAAACAGGAGAGAAAACAAAATTCAAATTCAGGTAACATATGTGCATTATTCCCCAATAAAACTGTTAGAAAAAAAAAAAAAAAACACTTGCATTTTGGAGTTGGTTCTCTGATGCTTTTTTGGGAACCCTGTGACTTCACCAGAAGTACATGCTAGCCTGCTCAATGAGAGAAATGGCCCAGATACCCTTTTTACCCCAGCAACCACCAGGCAACTACTGGACATGCGAGTGATGCCTTAGACCAGGCGTCCTCAAACTATGGCCCGCCTAGGACATTTATCCAGCCCATCAGGTGTTTTTGCTGCTGCTGCCTGTCCTGCTTAGCATCCAACTCATCCTGGGGCCTGCAGTCTGGCCCTCCAATGGTCTGAGGGACAGTGAACTGGCCCCTTGTTTAAAAAGTTTGAGGACCCCTGCCAGTTGACTGCAGATTCTGGGTGAATCCAGCCAAAACCAGAAGAACCATCCAGCTGAGCCCAGCTCAACTGCCAATCCACAGAGTAATGAGCTAAACAAGTGGTTGTTTTAAGTAGAAAACACACACACATTCAGGTAACATTTTCTAGGGATGAAAAGTTTGCTCACTTGGTCCCTCCACAGTCTTCACCTTGCCCCACTTCCCCAACTAGGAATATTGGGCACTGGCGGTGACCATAGCTCAATGGGTAGGGTGCTGGCCATATACACCAAGGCTGGAGGGTTGAAACCTAGCTGGGCCAGGTAAAACAACAATGACAACTGCAACAACAACAACAAAATAGCCATGGATTGTGGCAGGCGCCCATAGTCCCAGCTACTTGAGAGGCTGAGGCAAGATAATCTCTTAATCCCAAGAGTTTGAGGTTGCTGTGATCTGTGATGACACAGCACTCCACCCAGGGTGACAGCTTGAGACTCTGTCTCAAAAAAAAAAGAAAGAAACACTGGGCAGTAAACCCTACTGACCATTTCTCTTTTGAAACAGGAAAAATTCTCTATGAGGGCAGGACTTGGGCTGTCTTACTTTCAGTTGATTTCCAAAGTCTAACACACTGCCTCACACAAAATAGGTACTCAACAAATGTATGAATGAATGGAAGGAAGGAAGGAAAGAAGAAACAAGTCAGAAACAAAGTACTTGCCTATCTACTTTTATTTTAAATTTTAAATTAGCCTACATAAAATTGACTTTTTTGGTATGTGCAGATCTATGATTTTTAAACACGTGTATAGATTCATGACATTAATCCTGACAAATCATCCTGTGCTATCCTTCTGCAATTGTATTCTCCTCCCTCTTCCCCACCTGCCAAACACTGAGCTGTTCTCCATAGTTGTAGTGTTCTTCTTCAGAATGTCATATAAATGGAATCAAACAGTATGTAACCTTTTAAGATTGGTTTTTTTCACTCAGAATAATGCCATTGAGGTTTTTTTTTTTTGGCTGGGGCTGGGTTGGAACCCACCATCTCCAGCATATGGGGCTGGCACCCTACTCCTTGAGCCACAGGCGCCATGCAATGCCTTTGAGGTTTATGCAAATTTTGCATGTATCAATAGTTCATTCCTTGTTTTTTTTTTTTTTTTTGTTTGTTTTTTAAGCCAGAGTCTCACTTTGTCACCCTCAGTAGAGTGCTGGGGCTTCACAGCTCATAGCAACCTCAAACTCTTGGGCTTAAACAATTCTCTTGTCTCAGCCTCCCAAGTAGCTGGGACTATGGGCCACCTGCCACAACGCCCAGCTATTTGTTGTTGTTGCAGTTTTCATTGTTGTTTACCAGGCCCAGGCTGGGTTAGAACCGGCCTGCCTCAGTGTATGTGGCCAGTGCCTTAACCACTGAGCTACAGGTGACGAGCTGTTCATTCCTTTTTTGTACTTAACTTTTAATTTTTAGGTAATTATAAATTAACAGGAAGTTGTAAAAAATAGTACAGAGAGGTCCTATGTACCCTTCATCAGGTTTCCATAAATGTTAACATCTTACATTATTATTGTTCAATTATCAAAACCAGAGAATTGACATGGGTACAGTTTATAAATCTTATTACAGATCAGATTTCACTAGTTTTAAACACACTCATTTTTGTGTATATAAATGTATAGTTCTATTCCATTTTATCATAAGTGTAGATTCATATAACCTCTACCACACTCAAAACACAGAACCTTCAGCCACCACAAAGGTCTCCTTCCTGCTACCCCTTTTATAGTCATTCCCACTCCTCCTCCCTCACCTCTCCTAAGCCCTAACAACCATTCATTTATTCTACATCTCTACAATTTGGTTATTTTGAGAATATTATATAAATTGAGCCATGCAGTATATAAACTTTTTTAATTGGCTTTTTTCACTCAGCACACTGCCCTTAAGATCCATCCAGGTTGGCTCGGCGCCTGTGGCTCAAGTGGCTAAGGTGCCAGCCACATACACCTAAAGTGGCGGGTTCGAATCCAGCCCGGGCCCACCAAACAACAATGATGGCTGCAACCAAAAAATAGCCAGGCATTGTGGCAGGCACCTGTGGTCCCAGCT